ACAATTAAAAACATGTTATTTAGGCCTATCTATGGCATTCAAAAAGTTGACGACTACATGTTTCGAGGATGACGTTGTAACGTCGAAACATGTAGAGTCGTCAACTTTTTGAAGGCCATAGACAGGCCTAAATAACATGTTTTTAATTGTGTACCAATTTAACGTTGAATAGTATTTATAATTTTAACTTTATACACAAGTACCAAAATACTATAAGCAAAGAAAGAAGGTACTTTAATCTTTCTGACAATTCAAAGGCAAAAAATTGTAAGCTATATTTCAATGTATCATCACGAAAAAGCAAACTAAAGTCTAACTCGCAAACAGTTAATTAAATTATCTCAAAATAAACCTTCATTTCGGTGCAATATTGAAATTAGCTTGAATTCTTCATAATCTCTGAATATTGGTTGACCCAACGGGTCACGGTGGTCTAGTTACTGCTAGTACTAGTGCCACTTCCAGCCAGGGATCCAGTAGTAACAGTAACACTAGTAGGAGGTTAGAGCGAAATGAATGTCTATTAGATACTTCTAACAATCTTACTTACGCGTTCTGCTTCGGCTAAGGTTAACCAAAGTTTTCTCCAAGTGGAAAATTTCTTCATGTCACTGAAATTATAAGCCATTTCTTCGCTTGCATACCTCGATGATAGAGGTGTTTTGTAACGAGAATGCTCATCCATTTTCAACAGTTTTGCTGTCGAAGACATCATACGTGAAGCACATGACTCGTATACGCTTAATCGGGTTGATCTTCTTTGATCTATAACATACCAAACAAGGAAATATGTGTTTTATCAGAAGGAATGCTTACCATCTTTCTATTTCGTGTTATGATTACAAATGCAATTTTTTCAACATCTGTAGTTCAGAATAGTATAGCTATATATTTTAAAATAAGTTTTAACGCTGTATTCAGTAAAGCTGGTATTATATTAATGTATAGAGTTTAAACATTATAAACGTATGAATGAAAGTTTGTTTATTGTTAAGCACGAAGCTACCCAATGAGCTAACTGTGCTGTGCATTATGAGCATCGATACCTGATTTTAGCGTTATAAGCCGTTAGACTTACTGCTGAATGTAAGCATGAGTGAAAGTAAATAATAATGTAATAAGGCCAAGTAAAAAACAAAACATCTTTAACGTCCAGAGTTTTCGAAAAATGGAAGGATAAGGTCCTTTTTTAATGATCTCTTACAAAGAAAGTTTGCACTCTTTTTTCATGATTGATGTTTGATTTCAAAGGGTCCATGTCAAACAGAAACCTTCTGTGTTTCATTTTTCCATCGAAACGATACAGAATTTATGACAAATAAAGAAAAATGACAAAATGGATCAACTTGGTTCATCTCAGTTTTTATTAAGAAGTCTTCTTTGTATGATCGAAAAACAATAATTCAGTGTGGAGAGACGGCTACAAAAAAGGAAAGCGAGTGGGGATGTTAAACATGTATTTTTTACTTGCCTAATACGTCAACCATATTATATCAGGTGTATCCAGTGCGAACGAGACCTTTACCCAAATACCATATTTCACTGTTTATAAAACAATAAGCCTTATTGGTTTTGGTTTGTTTTGAATTTCACGCAAAGCTACCAGAGGGCTATCTGCGCTAGACGTCCCTAATTTAGCAATGTAAGACTAGAGTGTAAGCTAGTCATCACCACCCACTACCAACTCTTGGGCTA